CATGGGCATTACTGGAGCTGGTACAAAATTGTTGCCCATGTTAAATGAAGTGTATGTTGGAACTGGAGGAAGACTGCATGAGCATTGCTGGAGCTGGTACAAAATTGGTGCCCATGTTAAATGAAGTGTGTGTTGGAGTTGGAGGAAGATTCTGCATGGGCATTGTTGGAGCTAGTACAAAATTGTTGCTTGTGTTAAATGAAGTGTGTGTTGGAGTTGGAGGAAGACTCTGCATGGGCATTGTTGGAGCTAATACAAAATTGTTGCTTGTGTTAAAAAAGTTGCCTATTAGAGGAAGATCTTGGAAATGCATTGCTGGAATTGGTGCAAACTCATTGCCTACGTCAAATGAGGAGTATGTTGAATATCGACTTGAGTGCAATTCTCCATCATTTATGTTATTGGATCCATGTGTGTCCAAAGGCGTAGGTGAGTTGCTGAAGTCCAAGCTATGTTTTTTGTGTTCTTGGATTAAAGCACCTAAAGTAAAGTCATCTTCATTGGAATCAAAGGAGTCTGGGGGAGGCAAGTATCTGTCAAAGCCATATTTCATCATGTGGGCGATGGCTCCAAATATGTCTTCCTTCTCCTCTTCTACACCCACATTAGCTTGAGATATGCCATTTCTTCTCTGTCTACACCTTCACCGGCTTTATTTATGCATTCTTCCTCTCTATTTGCTGCTGCACCTTGCCCTTGATCTTCCTCTTCCTCTTCAACTTCAAACCCATCTTCAACCTCAACTTCAACTTCATCACTGTCATCAACATCAACTATAGGGACAGTATTCCTATTGGAATTGCCACGTTTCTTTTCATATATTCTGCATAATACATAATCGTCCAACTAAAGAAGGAAGAAACATTTGTTAGATGAGGAATGAAGAATCCATGTAGATGTGTTTTCCAATGCAAATACTTTAAAAAGCATGCCTTTAATGATCAAATAAATGTATTTTTAAAACCTAGGAATCTGACTTGATGTAAAAGTTTGCTGAATCTATACAATGTTAGGTGTTGATATTGGAATGCTAAAAAGACTACAAACATAAAAGGCCTTAACTCATGAATATTATTAGTTTATGGTAAACTTTTAGGGTAAACAATCATCCCAATATTTTTTTCCTTCATCATTCAACAATTTAGTTAGATTTGGAATTGCTAAATATTGAATTATGCATTTTTGAATTTGTAACCCTTTTAGCATTTTGCTTTTAACCCTTGTTTTAGCAGTTAGCAAAATGTGGAATTGAGTCCAATTAAGTGGTTGAAATTTTAATTTCCTAAATTTTACCAATTTGAGTTATCTAACTTTGTTATACAAAAACCCATATACTTAAATCTGAACCTTTGATGAGTCGAAGTAATTGGTTAAATTCTTGGTTGGTTGATCAGATTCAAAAAATAAAATAAAAAATCACATGTTTTTATATTTGTTGTACTTAGGTATTTAATACTCTTTAATTTGAAAAACTAGGCATATATGGTGTATATGCATGACATAATCCAGATTTACCTACCTTCATGTGATCCGGTTCATCATTTGCAGCCCTTTGATGTTCTCTAATTATGTATTCATGCATGATCCAATTAGTTTTTGTTCCTCCGTAAAAGACCAAAGATTTCTTAACACCAATGTTCTTTCCATTTCCATCCTTGATATCTTTGTTTGGACCAGTTTCTTTCCAGTATCCATTGGTTGTAAAATGTTTTGGCATGTTCTCCTTCTAATATTTTCGATCCCTTGGTGTACAAAAATACCACTCTTGTTCTTCCTCTCCTGTGTGTCTATATTCTTCTGCAAAATAAGTGACAAGAATATCATCTAATATGAGTTGGATAAAAATATAGAAAACAAAAGCAATGATAGACCAACTTTGGCTTGGGCTTGAGTCAAGGCATTAAGCGTCCCAAAACAACCCAATTTTCTGCAATATGTTTATCCTATGTATGTAAATTCTGTATATATGTCTATTTCTCATTCTATTTATAATTGAATCGTAGAGTTATGAATTGTTGTCCACATGGAATATAGTTGTGCAATATCAAAATCAAATGATTATCCCAAAACCCACTAATTGTTCTGTTAAAAGACTTCTTTGACAAAAAGGATGAAATATGTAATGGGAACCTTAGTGTGTTATCAATAAAATATGGGAAACTTAGTGTCAAATATGCATATTACTTAGCTAGAAGTTTGTTGGATTTACCAAATGGCACCAATAGGTCTAATAGCAGTAATTATGGATGTTATATGGTAAAAGGTTTTGAGCTTTAATGTTTCCCCCAAAGTCAAATGTTTTGTGTGTGTATGAAAAGGTTTTGTTTTTTTTTTTTTTT